CCGGGGACTCTTTAAAATGCTTTCACCTGCCATACCAACCACTTTACCTCACCTAATGCGTACTCTCATATCTTCTCCACAAGCGTACTTTTGCACCCTGCCGGGTCTATCCAAATACCAGCAAAATTACATAACCTTCTAGGGTATAGCGCTGCCTCGTCCCACTAATCCGCTCAGCTAGGTGCATACCTAGACTGCAGGCACTCTTTCTCTTTTCTTTTTCTGCAAGCATTCCTCTTCAGACTTGTACTGTATCAGCTACGGAAGTAGCACCTGAACCGAAAGTTCCCAAATCGGCTTCGGGGAGCCCAAAATCGGCTCGCAACGGATTCTATATTGTCGAAGCACACGTAGGCAAACGATACGGTCACAGTGCAAGAACCTGGACTGAAATTGGCATCAGCCGCAAGTCCTGTTACCCGACCCAACCTGACCTGACCTGAATTCCATACCCGCACTGCAGTCATGTTACATGATTGCCCAGACGTTTATAACGTACGTGGGCCGAAGTGGGGGATGGGATCGTATCCAGTGGCGGATAGTAGCGGTTTATCTAATTAATTGAAATGAAAGAAGAGTCCAAGATACAGAACAGCCAATTTGGAAGACTAATGGACTCAAGGCATTCACCAGACGCTGATCACCTGTGGGGTCTTCGGCATAACACTCATATGAACGTCACTACAGATAGACAAACCTCAGCATCAATACAGAACTTTCAGTACCCTTTGTGTTTGAAACCACACCTACTTACCTAATATGAAGGTTTTTTCCGGTCGGTAGTAGTGGAGAGACAAAAAATAGTGGATAAAGTGAAGCTTTGTTATAAGTGCATTAAATATGGACACCTGGCGTGGGCATGTGAAGAAAATGGTAAATGTTTTTATACATATGTTCATTTTTATTTAGATCACTTGTAGTATTTGCTCCTGTTACTGCCTAGGTAATTGTTTTACAATTGCAGTGCTACTTTGCATCACTAGTTCATAACCTACCGCGTTGCCATTCCAGTTTTTTCCTCCTATTTCACCTTGCTGCCTTACTTATAGACTGGTCTACCCCTTGAACTACCAGTTTCATTACTTAATAATCGTAGACTGCCCTACAACACAATCAATGAGTAATAGGTAATCGCTTTCTTTGGATATATCCAAAACATTCCATTCACTACTCTCTACCACTGACCTTCCTATCTCCCAAGTTCATAAACTGCTTTCGTGCTCCCTTAGCACTCTCATCTCTTGTCCCATCTTGATCACTTCAGATACAATACCGCTCAACAACAATAACATGCTAGTGCGCGGAACCAAATGTGCCTTGAAGGTCTCTAACCCTGTTCCCACCCTCCCGCGCTGTACCATACCTCTAATTATTGTCTTAAATAACGCAAATAGGAAAGCATCCCTACTAAAGCACGATCTAACGATCCACTCTGCCGAGTTAGCCATCATCAATGGGGTCATCATCATACTCGCCACACTTACCCTACTCCTCGATCCTCCCCTTCCCAAATCAATAAATCCTATCTACTCTCGGTTGGAACATTTGTGGATAGCATCACAACGAAAGTTTGCAATCGTTTGTCTGATACACAAAAAGCCATTGTGCTCAACGTTCCTGATAAGACACCANACACCACTGGCAAACATCAAAACCGTTCTACTTAGAGCCTGCGGCATGGAAATTCAGCCGTGTCACCGTATTCGACTCAGGAAGAACAGCCCACGCTACTCTCGTCCCCTTCTCTTTAAATTCGCTGATGAATCGTTGCAAAATACTTCATTAACCGGCAAGCCACAGTTGCCGCGAATACGAGCTTCAAGGGGATAAAAATCCTACAGGATAAAACCGCACTGCAAAGGAACGTAATTAGGTAGTCACTAACCAGACTAACAATTAACTCACCGAAGTATAAAATAACCTCGCCGAACATACCTATCCCTATCCCTCCCACTGACTGCGCGCCTTAATCCCCTGATCAATTCAGATCAACATCCACTGTTGACCTCGATCACGCACCCTCCCCCAAACAACCCTCACCGAAACGCCAAAACCTAGCACCTTATTTGCCTCATCCGAGGCTCAGCCCCTACCGATACCAAGCACCTCCAACGCCGCAGTCGAAAATAGCGAGCTTATCCCCTTATAAAGTATCCAAATGGCGTACTGTGCTGTCCTCCTCCCCAACTGGCTAATCTCCCACTAACGCTCTTTATCAATGCCAGCCTCGCTGGGTTCAAACTCCGCCGCCCTACCCTGCCCAAATCTCACATCGGCCGTCAACACTCCTTCAACATTCCACCCACCCAAGTATAGCCCACTTCCCCTATCCTTCTCGCCCATCGTTTCAACCCTACCTTTAGTCCATCATACAACCGTTCATTACCTGACTACCCGCACAT